GGGACTTATCACAGCACTTGAATTTTTAAAAAGTTGACAGAGCAACTTCACGGCACTCTGTTTAGCCGCCCTGCTATCTGCAGCAAGTCTTGCTCTCTCTCGCTCTCTCACAGCCTGACACATAAATATATGTTCCTTCCAAATATCTTCTTGCACCTCTGAGCGTTTCATTTTTACTTTTTTTTACCCTTGGCCACCTGCTTAATGATTAAATATGTAGCATTAACGTTAACCGTAGTGTTTTCACCACGGACTAAAAAAAAGAGCCGACGACACTGAAAACCATCCAACAGCTGCTGCTTGGTGCCGATTTTCGGTGCACCTCTAACTCTGAATTATGATTAATGACACCTGTTGAGACAGGACAAGAATCACAGCAGATGGACTTAGAAAACTCCCCATTGAGTTTATATATATATATACACTGCTTTTGTTTGTATGTGTGAAGCACTGGAGCCTGAAAGCTGACAAAGAAACTAAGCCGGGCTCATCCACTGTACTTAGAGCTTTTTCAGAAAGAGGGGGAGAGAAAAAGGGGGATCTGGAGTGAATTTTTCTCACATCTGGTCCTGATTTACATGCTAAGGCAGCCTTAATAAATATGGCTTTGAAGCTAAGGTTATTTTATTTTGTGTGCAAAGACCATCGCAATGCCTTCAAATTCCTCCGCCAGACGATTGCATCAGACATTGAAATCCAACGCTGCGCTGAGCACCTTGTTCTGGCGAAGGTATCGGGGCCACGGCGATAAAGCCGCCACCGTCGGTGTCGCACGACGAAGCCAAACCCCCATCATCAGGACTTCAGTTGTAAGTACCAACAAGTTCTGAAGATCCGCCGCTGAAGCTACCGAAATCCCTGTTTCGGGGGGGTGGGAGGGGGGAGTCTGTGGTATTTCAGCAAGTGAAGCCTCTGCAGTCACATCTGTTTGTTAGGCAAGAGCGGAGGAGAAGGCTCGCAAACAAGCCAGCGCTCCCCCAGCTACCCCATAACTCTTCAGCGAGCCTGTGAGAACAGGGGGTGGGGGGATGAAGCGCCTGGCTTCAATGGCAGCAGAATGTGTGGAGTTGGTTAATTTGGACATGGCAGCGGTTCAGCAGAGAACAGTACTCCGCAGCTCTGCCAGACAATATTGGTGCCAGATGTTGTGAGGAGAGAAAAATCCTGCCACATAAAACATGTTCCAGTGGAAAGACTCCTTCTGTCGCTCTGCCTCTGCAGCAAAGTGATGACTTTGAACTATTTGTGAGCATAAAATGTAGTTTTATATATTTATTTAAATGCAGCCATTTAGATTAAGATGGGTAGTGTGGCTGTTTTTGTGAGAAGAATAAAACAAGAAAGATAAATAATTGAAAGCGTTTGAGCAATGCCCAGAAGAAGTTAGACAACAGATGGAACTTTTTTTTGTTGTTGTTAGAAATGCAGTTTGATTACAAGCTTTTTTTTTTTTTTTTGCTTTTTGTCACATTAATGTTGCTGCCTGTTCTGCAGCTGTGATGAAACAAACCTCCTTCGCATTCATCTGCGATTACAATCAAAAAACGACGACTTATGTGTATATTTATGTACACCCTCCCCGTACATGTGTTGTCTGAATGACTCTAAGCTGAGCTCATAAAACACTCGGCTCCCCCTACTTTGTTTTTTTTTTTTCTTCTTCTTCTTCCGTTTTATATTCCGAATGCAGGCACACATGGACAAAATGAGGCATTTTTCCATTACAAAGCTTATCATTAAATCCCCTCCTGCTGATCTTTTTGCTGGGTTTAAAGTAGAGAGTGGAATCATTAGAAACATCAGGAGACTTCACAGCCACTGGGGCTGAGCTAGCCTGGGGAGCTATCTCCGCTTGTGTGAAGAAGAGGAGCAGCGGGTCGGCGAGGTGACCCGTGACCTCGAGGAATACCGTGTGAGGGCAGAGGTCCTTCGTCCAAACTGTTGCACACATTTGCTGAACCGCTGCTGCACCACATTTTGTGACCTGCTTCCGGCCTCCAGTTTTTGTGCTGCTCATTTTGATTTTGGCGAGTTTTGACTAATTTTTTAATGACTTCTACAAGAATATAAAAACATCATGTTTTTTTTTTTTTTCTAGCCTTCTATCCAAAGAGAAAGTGACTTATAGGGCTGTGATTTTACTTCTGATTTCAGAATTTTACATAGTCGAATGCAAAAGTATTGTTGATTATCTTCACTTCAGACTTTCGAAATGCTGCCAACATTTCAAAATTCAGCGTGTTCTATAACGGAGGTTTAAAGAAAACGGAGCAATTTTGCTGGACTATGTTCCGCTTTCCTGAAAGTTTAGCTCTCTAAGATACGAATATGATCATGCTTTGCACTTTTACACTGCAAAAACACAAAATCTTACCAAGTATTTTGCCTTGGATTTAATTCAAACATCTTGAATTAGGATGAAATTAACTTAAAAGTAACTTTTCAGCAAGAAACAGGAGGCTATTTTAAGTAAATATTTCATTAATATTAATGGAAAAGTGCTAGCTCCACTGGCAGATTATTTTATGTATAACATGGGAAATATCAAGTAAAGTAATCTGCCAGTGGAACTAGTATTTTTTAAATCAATATTAATGAATTGTTGACTTAAAATACGTTCTTGCTGAAAAGTTACTTACAAGTTAACTTTGTCTTAATTCAAGTGTACTAAGACATTTGCACTAAAATCTTGGCAAAATATATTTGGTAAGACTTTGTTTGTGGAGTGTATTTGAATAACTTCAGTATTCAGAGCATTATTTTACGAAGGGTCATTACATGAGACCCTCATACCGACCCTGGCCTGTCTCACTCATCCTGAAAATGCTGCGTCCACACTGAAGAGTGTTGTAAGTGTGAAACGGCACCGTTTCGATTGGAAGCTTTCCGCAGCGCGTGTTTGTGTCTGAAGAATTTCGGGTTTCGAGGCGGGCAGTGGAGTGCAGTCGCAGGCAGACTCTGGGGCACCTGAAACGTCAACCTGTGTGACAGAGAGGCCCTTGATTTTTGACAACAAGCCCAATTGGAAGCTGTGGAGACACTGGGAGGAAGGAAGGTGGTGATGGTGGAGGCGGGGGGGTTGCCATAGAGAAAGAGAGAGAGGGAGCAGGGATGGAGGAGGGGGAGGTGCTTAAGGACAGCCTCTAATTAACCCTTCAACTTTAATAAGTCCTGACAGGACAGATCTGCGATGAGGAGCCGAGCGCTCGCGGACGAGCCGTTTTTAGCGGCTCAAATTATCACAGGCGGTGTTTAAACGAGAGGTTCAGCTGTGTTTGCACAGCGGTGCGATGTGGAGTCAGGCTCTACCTTTGAAGTGCTCAGGGATGGCATTGAAGGCTATGACTAAGTTGTTTTGTACAAGATCCATTTCTGGCTCTGAGAGAGCGTGAGTGTTTGATTTGGACTAAAGGGAGCGTGTACACGTAAGTAGTCGTGTAGGAGCCTCAAAGCTGTTTAGAACAAGATGAAATGTATCGGTTGCCCTCCTGCTGCCGCTCTGTCAGCTATTGTTTGAGCTTAGTTTTCTTTTCTTTCCCAACACTCACCTACGCGTTTTCTAATCACAAACTTCTCTCTTTGTGTGTGTCTCCTTTTCTTTCCCTCCTCAGGTACTACTTCAAGAAGGCGAGCGATGAGTTTGAGTGTGGAGCGGTGTTCGAGGAAGTGTGGGAAGATGCCACTGTGCTGCCCATGTACGAGGGCAAGGTCCTGGGCAAAGTGGAGAGGATGGACTGAAAAAAAATAAAATAAAATAACACAAACAACCAGTGCCCTTCCCGCGCCCAAACACAAGTTAAGCTTTCCCTTAAGAACTTGAGCAACAGACTCTATGAAAAACAAACAAAAAAAAAAAAACCTCTGGACTTTTTTTTTTTTAATATTTCTTATTATTAAGCTAAACAGAGTTAATATATCCAGCACAAGAAACGCGATTGAAGGAAGACGAGCCAATGAAGTATGCCGAACTCAGAGGAGGAGCCGCCCCCTCCCTGACTCGCTCAACCAATCAGCCTTAGATCACACAAAGGGACGAAACTTTGAAGACCGACGCAAGAATCGGAGGCCAGGGGGGAGGAGAGACCCCGACTCCTCTTGAAGATAACCACTGAAGAAACCGTCGAGTTGCGACACGACGGCGGACTGATGGTGTCCTGTGCAGAGGGCTAAGCAGGCGCTGACAGAAACGCCCATACGTGTGCATATACATACATATATATGTATATATACACATATTTTATATATATATAGATATATATCTATATATATAATTCTTTTTTTCTTGAGTTTAAAGTTTTATTTAGTATTTATTAAAATAAAACTTCCCTCTCCCCTCCCTTGTCTTAATCCGTTGACCCCGCCCCCTTTTTCCCTGTCGTCTCCAGCCAATGAACAAGCTGCTTTGAATGTTGGGAGAATACTCTAGTGATGCCGTTTCATGTTTGTCCGTTTTTTTATGTTCCGCTAAGGTGGTCACACTAGCCTTGTTGCCACTTTCGACCCAAAATAACGACCTGAGCGTGGGTCCAGTCCAAAGCTTCGTTACGCTAACGGTCAATCCCACTTTTATATGCTGCTGATAGTTTTCTTCAAAGTTGTCACACCAGGATCTCCCAGCACTCATTGTCTGTCTCTCTCTCTCTCTCTCTCTCTCTCTCTCTGTCTCTCCCCCCCCATCCCTCCCTTTCTCCTCTGCCTTTCCCTCTTTAGCGACAGAGCTCAATCTTTTTTTGTTGTGCCTTTGTTTGTAAACCAGGCATTGCACAGGGATGGGAAACAAGGGGGGCGGGGGGGTGTAGAGGGGGGCAGGGCGGAGGTGGGGGCAGATTCACACAGAGAGAAGGCCTAATAAAGACAGTGTTTACAGCCCGCACACCGAAATAACTCGCGCTAATAACAAGAATCAGTTTGAGCCACTGAGAGCGACTTCTCGACGAAGTCGGCCAACATGTGCGGGAGGGAAAAAAAACAAACAAACAAAAAAAAAAAACTACAAAACAGCAAAAACATCGTGAAGAAGTTCCGCTCCAGTATCTTTTGAATGTTGTTACAGTAACACCGAATATAGCAGAGCTCCTGCGTATATTGTAATTATGCATTCTGAAGTATGAATACTGAAACACACACAGACACAAACACATGACTGCTGGTGTTTCTTGAGTACAGCACCTGTGCCTACATGGATGCCATACCATGTGCTACCCTGTTTCAGGGTTTTAATATATATCCCTTGGTTTTCAGAAGGGTTTTATGTTGAGAAGATATTTTTATGCTTTTAATAATGTCCTGTAATCATGTTTTTTTTATTATTATTTTGTTTGTGTTCCTCTTTTTTTTTACACCTTGGCCTTTTTTTTGGTTGTTTTTTGGTTCATAATATCTAAACTGTAAATTATACATTATATACAGAGTTTCATTTAAAGATTTACATGGATCTATAATTATTGAGAGATGTAGCCTTTATTAAAGTTTTATATTTTTCAAATGAAAGCAGATGTTGTCCTTATTTCGTGTTTTTAACAGAGTGACATAAGTATCCATATATTTTTATTTATTGATGGATAAAGACAATAATGGTGACGCTCAAGGGAAGGTTTGTTTTATTTATCGAGTTAGTTTTATTCTACTTTTCTGATACCCAAGTGATGTGCAATGTCGGTGCAAACAGAAATTAGGCAACCTTGTTTTCATAGGTTTGTAGTTATCAATAATTGTCACCATTGAGCTTTTGTTAAAAAAAAAAAGTCTTATTGTTGATTGTTTTCACCACTGATCAAATGTGAAGGTTAAAATCTTTTCTCTGTTTTCTGAGTGTGAGATTTTGCTCGTACAGTAAAATATTTTATTTTGAGGCTTGAAACACTTCCTCACCATGAGCGCCATAACCTGTGGAAGTGGCTGCAAGTTATAGTTCACTCGGAATCAAGCAACGAGCAGCACCGTCGAATGACGGCAATATCACCGTAGCATGAACTAAAGTAAAGCAGGCCTAGAACGGCTGGAGCAGTCACCTGCTTTTTCTGCAACGTTCGTGTCTTAGAAACTTCAAAATCTTCACACAAATGGCACTATCGTGTAGAGATACTGTAGTGGTAGTATTTATTAAAAAGAAATTCTCTACTGGGTGTGGCGGTGGTGCAGAGGTAAATCCTGACCCCCGTATGGAGGCCTTTGTCCTGAAACGGCTACGGGTTTGAGTCCCGGCCCGATGACCCAGGCAGCATGTCTTGCCCCTCTCTCATGACCCACTTTCCCGTCTGACAACTAGCACATATAAACTACTAAAGCCGACAATTAAAAAAATAAATAAATTGTCACCATGTTCTGACAGTGATATGAGATGGATAATCTGCAGAAAAAAATAAATCGATCTCCTCTGTTCTCTCCCAGTTCTTTCAGAGACAACAATGGAAATACATTGCTTGGTCAGAAACAACTAATCGGAGCCAGGAAGGTCTCAGCGCTGTCAATCATATTTGTAAACACGCTGCTCACACCCTCCCCCTTGCTTTCTGCTATTCTAAAGCAGACTGGGCCACAAATGCTAAGGCTGGTGATGATAGTCAAACAATTTTCCTATAACTGTAAGTTGTTTCTCTGCCGTGAGCTCACTGAGCAGCGCATACGTGAGGATGATTAACAGAATTAAGACTTTTCTCCTGGCTCTGATTGGATGTTTTTTAACTGGGAGCAGTGAATTTCTGCAGATGGGCTCTGGGAGGAGGCGGAGGAACTCAATTTTTTTTTTTTTTTTCACAGATTATGACATAATGACAGTTTTAACAAATATGCGCAAAAAAATTATAGAGATTACATATTGCAGCTTTAATCGGTGTTGCAAATGATAAACCACTGAATATTGACATCAGTTAAACGCTGACGTTGCTTCCTCAAATAAAAAGTTCTAAAACTGGAAACGTCTTTGCTTAAAAAGACAAGAATGGAACGGGAAACAGAAATCACCCAGTTCCCCTCTGTGATTAACTCTGCAGGCTTTCTGCTCGCCTCTTTAAACGAGAGACATTAAGCATGAAAATGAAGCCATGGTGCTAATTGGTGCTATTAAAGAGCAATGAGGGCCAGCGTTACTCTCTGTAAGTCAACACAAACATTAATGAAGCACCCTGCCTCCCCTATCAGAGGGCCTCCACATGTTTGCTGCAATTATCTGGCTTCATATCAGCATTTGGGGGGAAAAATCGTTTAACACCATGGAAATAATTCAGGGCTGGGGACTGGGATGCTGTCTGCATCATGCAGATGCACTCGGCTCGTGCATTTGAATTCAAACTGTTTCCATTAAACGGGGGGAAAAGGCTCGAAGTTGATAAAAAACAGAAGTTGCCACATCATAAGATTCAAACAGCCATCACTTATGAGCTTATACTGCGCACAATTTCTTTTTTTTTAATTCTATGTTTTCTTTTTCCTTTAAGTGAGTACACATGGAAAACAAAGTAGATGGAGAACTGTCCCATTCAAGATCTTTACACACTTCTTAACAATAAATGCTCCTCTGAAGACAAACAGTTTAGACGGACCACTAACAGATTCATTTTCCAGGCTTCGCCAAAGCTCAGAGCGGCGAGACTTTGCGACATAATTGTTGCGTTACATACTCCACAAACCCTGGAATCAATTATGCTGTGGATTTCACTTGACAGTGAAGAGAGTTTAATCAGGACTAAGCAGCTAGTTTCTGCTGAGCGGTCGGGTTTGAGGCAGGTGCGCCGCTCCACGCCCCTCTCACCTGCACTGGCACCGTCCTCCCCGACTCTTCTCAGCTCTAATCTTACAGCCTCTTGGGGACTCTGGCTCTGAAAAACAACCTGTCCAGGGAATCTGCTTACATTTTGCATACCCTCCCTCTTCTCCAACATCAGCTTGACCCCTCCCTGCTCCCAGCCCTCACCTCAAGCCCATTTTTAGATCTTTTCACATTGCCTCTATGACATTCAAGGTGCTTTGTTGAGGTACAGTGCAGGTTATGTACGGGTTCCAGCTTTCACAGCAACTTGTCTCGAGTTTGACGCTTCTGATCCTTAAAATTCTCATTTGGGGCACTCAGTTCCTTGACTTTTTGAGAGCAGAAGACGTTTCCATGCCGTAAATCTGATTTCGGTGTCTTTCTCCGACGTCCCAAACTTTGCAGCCTTTGCTGTTGTCTTTTCTCCTAATGGTGGCTTTTATTCCTCTTGCGTTGCCTTGTAATTGGCATAGCGTGGTTGGGGCTATTGTAAACATGGCCGCGTGAAACGGGTATAAAGAGGCACCAGACGCTCCGCGGGCTAAGCCAGTGTGCGAAGCGGGCAGGGACTGCTGCTGCCTATTGTACTGCTGAAGCCTTTGTAGATTTGCAGTGGGCCCCCCTATTTAATCGCCTTCTCATGCACCGCCTGCCGCCTCACTTTGCATATTTAATTGCCAGGTAAAATCATTTGCTCGACAATCCGTTTAATTATTTGATTGTACAGTAAACCGTAAAGAGTGAGCAGGGGGAAGTGGAAGGGATAAAGGGGGATAGGGAGAAGGAGGGAGAAAAGAGAGAGAGAGAGAGAGCAGCAGGCAGCGGAGAAAGAAAGGAGTCTGTTGCCAGAATAGACATCAAAGCTGTGCCTTGATGTTGATGTTGAATGGGCATTAATGGTTTCTGAAGGCAAGAGATTGCACAGGGAAAAAAAAAAAAGAAAAAGAGAAGAAAAAAAATAAACCTTCCTTTTTCTCTGACAATCCCGCCAGCCATCTCAGTAAATGCATAAACATTGGAAGCCGGTACAAGTTAGAGCATTGAACAGAGATAAAGAAAAAGAGACTGAGGGAAGCTAGTTAGATTGCTCACTTTTATTTCCTGTAATGACTAAAGATTGAGTTATGGAGAGAGATATGGGTCAAATGGACTGATCTGAGGTGATTAGGTTGCCTTCATAACATTGTTTTATATTGTTTTGGTTGTTTTAAATTGGTCCTGAAGCTGTTTTACTACAATAAAGGTAATCCATAATTTGATTGCCTGAACAGTCAAAGGCTTAGCTATGCTTTTTTTTTTTTTTTTTCCACAAAAGAGTTACTGATTTGAACAGCTCATTTTTCCTTACTAAATGAATTAATCGTTTCAGAACGGATTCATCTATTTACTCCGGTTATCTTTGTTAGGTATGAAAAGTTGTTTGAGTAGCTGAGACATTTAGGTGTGACGAAAAAAAGCAAAAACTGAAGAAATGTGCACTGTATTTTAATTTTAAAGGAAGTTTTGTTGGGCCACAAAATATTACTTAGATGCTGTATATTTGAATCGACATTTGAATAGCTAGGGCGAATAACCAAGTCAAAATTTATACTTTTCATACAAAACAAAACATACAAATTACATACAAAATGCTTTGAAGCAGGACAAACACTGGTAGAAAAAAAAAACACTAATTGTCAAACTATGTAAAGAAAATTAAACTCTTTACAAAAATACATCAAAACAAAGGTATTAAACTGAAAAATGTATAGTGGTACAAAATTCTTTAAATATAATCCACAAAGAATGAACACAAACATTTTGAAATAGACCAAAAATATTTGTGATGCAATGAAATTTATAAGCATATACAAGTAGTTAAATAAGTAAATAACCCCCAAAAAGGATCAAATTTACACAATAAAACGTGCAGAATCATCTGAGTGCCTCTATGAACACATGACACAGTGATGTTTCCCATTGTTGATGATTTGTCACAAAACTCTGAATGCTAGTATTCACAAATATTTCCAAATGATATGTAAAAGTCCTGATAATGACCGTATAGCCCATTCTATGAATACTCTGAAAGGTTGACAGAATTTAACCAACAAAATACAAATGATTGAGAATTGAATAGTGGCAACATTTCAATTTTTATTTATTTTTTTCTCTATAATTTATCACAGTAAACAAACTTTCAGAACAACGATTTACAACGAGACGTAAAATAACACCCA